AGGGTGCCATGTCCCTGCACCCGGGGGGCTGCCAGCACCCACCTCCGGATGAGGCCGGGCGCTGAGCCTGGCAGATGTCCCCGGAGGGGCCCTGGCCTGGCCATGGCGCCGGGGCGAGTGGATTAGGGATAACACGGCAGCGCTAAAGCCTCGCAACAAAGGGTATTAGGGATGAGTGTCAAGGGCCATCGCACAGCGTCTGGTGACACCCACAGACGGGCAGGACCCACCTGGGTGGCACCCGGGGGGCTGGGGGGGCAGGGGACATGCCTCCAGCCCCCCGTCCGCACGTGGTCCCCGGGGGGCTGCAGGCACCGGGGCCCACAGCCGCAGGCACACGTCCCGGTTCACCCTGCTGTCCCCCCCACCCCTGTCCCCGGGTCCTGGGGGGCTTGGGACGCGCTGGGGGCCTGGAGCGCGTTCCAAGGGAGAAGCAGCCGGAGCCAGCACGTGCCCAGGGGAAGGGGCCGGTGGTGGGTGCCCCCATCCCTGGCTGCAGGGTGCCTGCTCTGGGGCTGGGCAGGGGTCCCCAGAGCTGCTCGCCCCCACCCCCACAGGGGTTTTGGGGGGCTCAGCATCCCCCATGCACCCAGGGGGAAGCTGGGGCTCTGGGATGCCTGGGTCTCCTCCCCACCTGCATACGGGACCCCCACCGTCACCCTGTGGTGGGACGTGGGTAAAAGCCGGAGGCTGAGGGCAGCACTGGGGGACAGTGGACACCCCAAAAAGCCCAGCTGCCCATCCATGGAGGGGGACACCCTTCCCAGGGCCGGGCTGGCCGGTTCCCATGGGGCAAAGACCCCCGCCCAGCATGCGGCCGCCTGGCACACTGCCACCGCTGTCCCCTGCCCGGGTCACGGCGGGCCCCGTCCCCCCGTCCCAGGTGGGGCCACCCACCCGCTCTGACTCAGAGCCAGAATATAGGCCGGGGCTCTAAAAATAACCCAGCTCCGGCACAAAGCAATCGCTGCTCCTCCGGTCGGGGGGATTCGAGCAGGAGAGAACACCCCGAAATAGCTGCACGGCCCCTTCTCCCCCTGCCCCATCACTGGGGGAGCATCCGAGATGGGGACCCCAAACCCAGCCAGGGTCCCTGACGGGGAATGGGGGGGGACGGGAGATGCTGGTCCCCGCCTGGCCATGCTGCTGAGACGCTTCCCCTTCCTCCACTTCCCGAAACGGTCCTGAGCGCCAGGCTGGGCCCACGGCGGGGGCAGACACCGCTCCGCACCGCCACCTCACCCCTGGGGACCCCCGGGCTGGGAGGAGCCCCGGCACCGAGGGACCCCCGGGACCAAGGGCAGAGAGCGG